TAAAAATAACCAAAAATAAATTAGTATAAGATACTTGAATTTCTCGTAGGTACGGCGAAGGAATACGGCAATCTACTTGTCTATAGAGACAAGTGATAAACGAAAATACCCGATAAATAATAATAGATTAAAATCTTAACCTAATGTATTAAATAAAGGCCGAGCGCTAAAATAAATTCAAAAGGTCCCTGAGGCAGAGTATTTTGGCAGAATTTCGTCGAAGCTATATTTCTATGCTATGAGAGGAAACCACCTGCCTAGGGTTAGGATTTAAATTAGGTCCCTTGCATTTGTACCCCTTGTCTCTACTCCAAACGGAAACAAATCAAAGTTGAAGAAAATTATCTTATATTGCCGTTTGTTATCTCCTGCTTACTTAGCATTAGCGCTGGCTTTTGAAATTATCCGAGGTAGGTAAGGCGGTATTTGTCCAGACAAGTAACATCACATACTTATCTCCAGTTCAAGGAATCATAGACTCCGTGTTGGAGTATTGATGGTGGCGGGAGTAGAAGACATCGTAATACTCTAAGTAGAAAACAGTCTAGGCATTTTTCATGAAACAGATAATAAATACGTTCTTCTTGCCCGCTCTACGCCCTTGACTTGCGAAGTGGTAGTAAATTTACAATTAATTTAACTTATTTTCTGACATTCATAAGTGTGTTTACCTATATGAATAAAGTTATTTTGACTTTACTTGACGTGACTTTACGACCAGCCTAGTAAAAACAAAATAGGAAAATAACAGTGAGCTAATATTTCTACCATATAAAAGATACACTTGTATGAAGTGATAGGTACTTGAATTGAATTATTATGAATAAGAGATGCAAGATACACCCCTGGTACCGAGGAGCACAGTTATCTTGCTAACCGTTGGTCATACAGTCAACATTTAGTATAAATTGATAATTATTGAATTTTTTAAACATGTAATAAGCAAAGAAAACAAATTTTTGCCATTAACTAATAATTTACAACTTCAAAGTAGAGAAATATGAAAATTTATTTCGAAATGTGCCGAGGAATTCAGTCTAGAGACGCACTGCTCGATTTCTACTGTGTCTTAGAGAGGGCTTAAATAATCGAGTGTGCAAACGGACATCAAACAGCCAGGAACAGGGAGTCTATCACAAGTACATAGAATTATCTACCTTATTCAGATGCACAAGTTGATTAAGTAGCCGAGACTGATTTCTAATGGCATAAGAGCCATTGTGCTATGCACAGCATCGTGAAAAATATTGTAGCGTGGGTCGATGGATATCACTTGAATATTAAATTTCATTCTAGTTACGGAATATCGCACAAAAGAATTTATTAATTATTGCTTATATATATGCTATAATAATTGCTTTACGAATTTCCTAATGTAGGCAGTACGTCCTCAGATATTCATCATCATGTTACTCTTGGGCATGTAAGTCATCACTCATCAGTCATGTATTTCTTCATCAATTCTGAAAACCGTATCAATAGAAACATCAATTGTTTTGCCGGGAATCGATCCATTGTCTTGGGTTTTCGCCATATAATGTACCTAATGCCTAAACAGTATGCCGTATTTAATTTTGTTGTCAATATTTGTATCCTTTTGTAACTCTTAGCACGGGCTGCCTGGAAGTGATTGCTTACACCCGTTCTTCTTCCTTCATCTACCGCATTCTTCCTTTAGATCTATTACCTGTATATTGCTTTCTTATGTTATAAGTTTAATAAAATAGGGTTTTATTTATAATTATTATATTTCTATACAGATCAGTTTAAAATTATTAAATTAAATTACTGTATTCTAGGTCAAATCATAACTTAACGTATAAAATAGTTCTGATTATTATTGTCTGATTACAAAGTAACTCTTAATATTTATTACATTTCAAAAACTTTATCTCATTTTCATTATTGAATAAGCAAAAAAAAACACTTGCAATTCAACTATTTACATTAAACATCAGGTGCTTAAAAGTGTCCGCAACAGAACGTATTATTTTGGTTAACGCAACTCACCCTCAATAATTCTGTTCAATCATGGGCACACTCCCCTACGGCATTATAATCGCAATATTTAATACTTTACTCTGCAATAAAAACACCCAATGCAGCTGTGTTACATTATCCATGCTTGTTACAAACTATTGTTATTTATTCATTTTAATTTTGTCCGTAAAACAAATAGTACAGAAGAAAAATTCACACACGAAAAAAAAGCAAATTAACACACGTTTGTGTAAGGATATAAATAAATGAACTATTAAAAACAAAGCATTCAGTTAAGGTATAAATATACGCCTTTAGGACGATATTGATCAGAGTCAATTCATAGTAATGTTAGCCCATAAGGGTCTAACTATTTGGATTGAATAGGAATGAAAAACGACACCCTAAGCGCTACTTACGCATTCTTTAAGGAATATTTATCGATCATGAGGAATTTCACACAGTATAAATTCAATAAATATCTTTTGATATGCGTATTTAAATAAAGTTCTACGTATATATAACATTATATTTATAAATTAAATTAATAATAATAATAAGCCTTTTTATTTCCTGTTTTACAAAAGTGGGTATTTGCTATATTACAGTAACCAAAAATATTGATTTTGTTAGTAGTTTAGCTTAGATTATGTTAGTAATATATATATATATATTATTTATTTATGAATTAACAGGAACCCCGGTTTGTCAAAGATGCCCATTTTTGTCGGTCCTGTGCTATGGAGTGCCAGTTTTTGCCCGCTGTCTGTCTTTCTGTCTGTCCCAGAGCTCTAAGGGTCTCCCCTTCCTCCTCTTGCCTGGTGGTCCTTTACATTGGGTCACTCATTTGGTCCATATGTCATAACTTAAATTTACATCTCCAAAACTGAGCAAAGAAAGACCAGTCAGAACTACATATACCCAGGTAAGCAAATATCATTTAATTATAAAATTTAGATGAAAATAAACAAAAGAAGAAGTTTTGAGCATTACAAGAAATCCGACATAAAGTTTACTCAACTTCATGGACAAATGCATATTTCTATGTTAATCATATGGATGCTAGACGTTGATTTTTAGTGATATTTTCGTGGTTAAGGCGTTGATAAAGAAAATTGGAGTATGCTAAAAGGCTAAGAGTGTTCTATTTTTTGTTTGAAAGAAAATTAAAATGGAAATGGGTCGGTCTCACTGCCCATCTTTGTAATAGCAGTTGAGTCCTAGACCTAGTCCACTCAGGACTTAGAATGAGCCAGTAGGCAGAAAAAGGAAAGTACGTGCAACAGAGTCCATGATATGATAAAATAAAAGTGATAGAGGGAATAGAGGAGATATTGGAAAATAGCAGCAAAGACAAGTGGATGATCAAGTGGATGCTTTTGCAGGAGGCCTATACTCCTTCGGAGGGCGTCTACTAGTATTTAATATAATAATAAAATAACTTAAATTATAGTACTTGACGTAAGGCTTATTTTATGTTTATTTATAGGTGAGAGATTAAATATAATTGATTAGATATATTAAGTAATATAATTTTTTAATTATTATTTAATTATCTTCCTCAACTCCTAGGGGTGACGCTTTGAGGATGTTATGCCTTCTATACACCTAATCAGGTCCTGCTTTTTTAAAGCAACGGCTCTTTGTTGGTCCCCTTCTAACTCCAATTCATCTGTCAACCGAGATTTGCATAGTCGTGATTCTTCTAGTTGCGTGTCTATGTAAAACATACCATTCATACATCTAGTGCCTGGTAATCTTTTTAAAGAAATTACTAATACTCTTGCCAAATTTTTGGAAACCTCTCTTAATGGCATTATACATTCGCTTAAAGAATGCTTTTACTTTGTTCCAAGCTTCCACGATTCTGTGACTATTAGCACTAATGAGTTTAGAGATTATTTTCCCAAGTCCACTTTTAGATTTCGATGATGACATGACTCTCGCATTGCTGCTTCCCTTATTGGTCTTATAAGAAATAATTACGAGCACAAAAAATAATACAAAATATACTTTGAGCGACATAATTGTACTATAATTGCAATATGTATTCGGACCTAATTAATATAAGATACATTAAATACGTCCTTTTCATGCGTTATCTTATCTCATATGTTACATACAACTTCGTTGCAAGTAAGACCACTTCTATAACTCTTCACACTTTTAACTTAAATCAATTGCAACTGTTTTCTGAATCACATAAAATTATAATGCACATAAATACATTTTCCACTTAATAAAATGTAATAGAACCTCCATTTCATTTAATTTTCACACTTATTTCACACTCTTATAAGATATTTCACCATCCGTACGACAAAGACTACGAGAACTGAGTACTAGACCGTTTATATGAAAGTAATCATACAGACAATATATTATCAAAACATGTATGTTTTGGTTCACACATTATACCACTTATACTTATTAATTGTGATTCATGAACCTTAATATTAGTTTTTAGCACTATTATTTTAGATTGTAGTTTATTAACTTCTTGCAGTTTATGCTTAGTATTTAGTTCTCCATACTAGGGACGCCTGGATGAGATCGCTACCATCATTTATCATTTATGTTACCTGCTTTTATATGTAAAATTAATAAATATTTGTAGTGTCAAAATGCCAAATCAAAGCAGAAAGAATTTAATTCTCTATAAGATTTTATTAACAATAAACATAACTATTTGTTTTATATACTATAGTTATTATTAAGTTAAACGATGGATTCACCTTCGATCCAATAGTAAATTTAAATTTAATATTGTATCAACAATCCTACCGTGATATCCTGAGTTATGTACAGTTAAATTGAAATTAAATTTTACACGTATTTTTAAACGTACAACTTGTTAATTTGAACTAACACACTTTTCACTATAGTTTTGAACGGCTCTTAGTGTGACATGTCGTTTTAACGGATCCTGCCATGAAGCGGCCTCGCGGGAAATCATTGTGTATGTCCAACATACAAAGCCAACATAGGTACACGCTCTTAGGAAATTCACACTGCACTTTTTAGGTATAGTTAATAATACCTGCTATATTTTTATATAATAATTCCGGGGCAGTCCTGCCTAAAATAAAATGAGGGTGTGAGAAATCACTTTTGTTTAATACCGTATGGTTTATAAATGGTACAAAACTTTTAAGTTTATTAATATCATTCCTAGTTGACATCGTATCAGCAGTGGAAGTAAAAATATATAATGGTACTGATACATCATTTAGTGGATATTCAGGTGGGGAGGACAAGCCATATGCCCTGGAATTATTTTCGATTCCATAATCAAACATTTCAAAACGCTTAGTTTGTATCATTTGAAAATAATGAATAAGTGTCTTCTCTGAACCTCCTGAAGTTGAATTGACTAAAAGTTCGTCCATCCTTGACATCACAGTCATGCCGTATTTTAAACAAAGTAGAGAATTCGTCAATAATACTTTGTTTCCTTTGCAATATTTTTCTGTAATGCCTTTCAATGATTCATCTTCTTTCAATAGTTCTTCTTGGTTTCTCCCGATGAGCATTGTTGAATTGTAATTTTCGTGATAAACGTCTGACATATCTTTTAGTGGTCCCTTAATGTCATTCATGAATACTAGAGGCGCCAAGAGGACTGCACTTTTTATCATATTATTATATTCGGGTAATAGAGAAAGTAAAACAAGTAAAGAAGTACCACTGAGCGAGTAACCCAGAAATACAATGTCAGCATGTTCCGATTTGGTATCATACAAATATTCCAAAATAGCACGGAGATCATACACACCGATTTCATGAAAAGTGAAATCCCAAAATTCTGCTGAACTAACACTTCTAGAAATGTGTTCTTTGGAAAATTGATTTCCTCTGGAATTAGCTAACCAAACTTCCAACCCAGATTCCAAAAGTATAAATGGTAGCGAGTCTTTAGGACCAAGAAGGAGCCAGTCCATAGAACAACCAAATAAACCATGATGTAATAAAACTATTCTCCTTTTAATACCAAAGGAATCCGGGACCCTTGATGTGACCTTATGTATTTTTAAAATATATCCATCAGCAGTCAACACTTTATGGGTTTCTATCTGGTAACCATAAGATGCAATAGCAGATCGAAAAGCCATCACAATAACACCGTCCGATATGTTACTTACTTGTCCTTGTTCAGTCATATTATCTTTGAATACTGTTTCGAAGAAATTAGTAATGGCTGATTTTAATTTACGCCCCTCTACTTTGAGTGGAGATAGTGTTTCGTTCACAAACATTTTAATTTTTCTAACTGTACTTTTCACGTTTGTGCAAAAAAATCTTGTAAAGTTTTTGATTGATTTCAAGGCTGCGTTATTCTCGTAAACGAAATTAAATAATATAATGAATAGATATAAGGTTTTGACGTTCATGACTAAAGCAATGTAACAATGATAACAGATAACATAAGATCAAGTTTATATATCGACATGTATTAATAATTTTTATTCAACAAACTTTGTTCTTGAGCGTAATGTATATACAATATTAGATCATACGTTTTAAATATTGGACTAAAATTATCGATACATTATACGTGGCTCAAGTATTGTTGTATATTTATTAGCACTCAAAGATACAAATTATCGAAATAACGTGACCGGCTAAGTCACCAATAAAATTTTAGGAACCTCAGGTACCAGATTTATAAAACCACACAGGCGATGTCTTTTGGAGAAGGTTTTTGATTCTTATATTTAAATCATACTATGCCAATTAAACCATTAAACAGATAACATAAAATGTATGTTTTCAATACTCAAAATGGTCCAAATAATGGTAATATATCCTACTACTCGCCAATTACAAGTAATTAAAAAATATATACTAATAGAGTCCTCGCTTGGCTTTAGTCACTGTAAATCAAGCTGTTGTCGAGAAATTGGAACTAAAAATAAAAATGATAATCCAGTTGCGTCACAAGCTAGGTATTGGACGCTGATTGCATCTCGTTCTTTAAACATTTTCTTTCGTAGACAAGTTGAATACGCGCGGAATATAATTATCGTTCAACGTATGAGAAAGTGTTGACGCTCATAGAAATCCATTAATGGGAGAGCCGCAGTTTATTATATACATAAAAAATAGTTTAATTTACATGCTATAAAAATCGTGTTATAAAAATGAATTGCTTAAAATGGTGGAAAATTGAATGATATTCTAACATTTGCATCAAAATACAGTACGATCGTACCTGTTTCGTTAAATAAAAAAGTTTCCGAATAAACAATGTGGCTTGGTTAATGTGCCCAGACCAGAACAAAGACGAATTTGTTTTGCAAATTGCCTCGGATTTTATTTGTTGTTTTTTTTCTAAGCACTCTACGGCGGGTCAGAATCTTTATGATGATTTCAATTAGATCTTAACAAACATTTTTTTTTATATATAACAAAATTTCGTTATTACGTACTTTGATAATGTTTCGTGCGTTTAAAATTTTAAAACTGTTTTCCTGGATTATGTCGATAAAATGTTGTCGTACACCAATAGTATATTTGCAATTACTGCCTATTTTGGACCGATTTCAAGCATTTTAATATCATTAGAATGCTCAGTGAGTAGCATACAGATTATGTTTATTATATTTGTTCGAAAACAGTTAAAAAAACAACGTAATATACAAGTAAATTAAGCATTCCAATAGCACGGTTATAGCTAAATACTCAACCTTCTCTTTTCATCGCCGTAACCACAACTTGACGGAAAGAGACGTAAGAGTAGTTTAAAAAGGATGCAGTTATGATATTTTAGTTGTAATGAATAAGTAGGTAAAAATCCAGCCGTGCGAAAGGTCGCTAGTACGTTAATTGCTTGGAAAAAAAGTTCATTATTACCCAATTAATACTTAAGAATCCTAGGCTAAACTTAGAAAAGGTCGAAGGTAAAACTTTCGTTGGGTGTAAATATTAATACATCCATGTAACGGATATTAAGTTATCGAAATATCGTTTTAAGTAGGTAATAGTTTGCGTATCAATTAAAGTTTTATTTGCAAGTGCAAAACTCGCGTCGTAGATTCGTATTAAATAATATTTGATGTAGTATTGCATTTTGTGTTCGTCAAGTGGAAACGTAGCAACAACAAAGTTCAAAAGAACTTTACGTAAAAGTGACTTTCAAGATACGTCAATTTGTTAAAAATTGTCGTCAGGCATTCGAATTTTCACATCCGCTTGAAACTTATAATTGATATAGGAACTCGAACATCACACATTCGAAAATATTACTAGTATTTTGTTAAGAAACATATTAAAGATATAAGAAACATATTTAAATCACCAATATACATCAAATAAACTTGTAGTTACTGAGGCAGAAGTGCAGTACCTGGATAAATACTTACAATTCTATGATCACATAATCAATATTAGTAAATAATGCAAATACCAATTGAAATATTATATATAGCTTTTAAGTGCATTAGTTACTGCATCTGTTTAATTTTATAGGTAGTGGTCCTTCTGTGCCTACCACTCATCATTAAAAATATTAAAATGGTACACGGTACTTCTCGGTTCGGATTAATACCTGCAGCTGAGTTTCGTCATAGGACGAACAGAAAACAAAATACCGCCCGTAACTATCACCTCGACGTCCGTCGTTCCACACCTGTTTTATCGAGGACTTCCTGCCACGCACTGAATGTTTTTTAATGTAGTTTTTAAAAGATCGCACCAATTATTAAAAGGTTGGAAACGCACTTTCGAGCCTTTTGGCAATGTATCGCTCAGCATCAGGTGAGCCTCGTGCCCTGTTCGTTAAAGTTTTTTTTGAATCATATATGAAGGTTATCTGACATCCTTGCTTTAGGACAACTGTGTTAAGGAAAGCAGTCCCTTCTTATCGACACAACAAAAACTTAAAACTAAACTATTTTCATAAGTTCGAAGACAATGTTTCCTCATTATTCCTTCACAGTCTTGAATCACACGTTCAACTAATACTACAAAGGAAGCATTAGCTGGTTTATGAATTATAGAAAATACCTAATGTATTTCTGTTTTGAAAAATCATCTTAAACTTCCAATTTACAACATTATGAGCGCGTAATAACAATATATTCCCGATAGACATGCACAAAGGAACGTAAATACAGTTCAGTTCACTTCAACAGTTCTTAGCTTATATTAGCAGCCTCTGATTTATTCCGTTCATTTTTATCATATTAAATTACTTGATAACGTCAGCTCTGAGATCAGATTTATCCTAAGAGCTTTGATAGGAAATTATCCGCGCAAGTTTGCCTGAAACATACGCATCTAAAAGTTTTCTCATCTTTCGAGATTACTAATAAAAATGAAGACGTTTCCTATATTAAACTGATCTTTAATTAAAGTTGGGTTATAGTTAAATAGTTTAGCTTGCCTAATGTACAAAAGCCTTTTTTATGCTTTTGATAACTGTTTTCCTAAAATATTTTTACTTGAATGAAAAGCATCTATGGAGTATATTAACTATGAAAAATATAATAAAATGTTTATGATATGATATGGGATTTAAACAAATTTACATTAATGGGATTTTAAAAGAATAAATTATAAATCAATTTGTATTATTTATTTTATATAAATAGCACTTACAAATATCACACTTCATTGATTCGTGTTGTGTTAAAATATAAACCTGTTGTTAAAAAGTCTACCACTTTGCCGAATACTAACTCAGCTGCATTGTGTCCCCATATAAAATCTGTATGATTTAAATTCTTGTCGTGGATCACATAGTGATCTATAGGTTTCTGTATGCTGAAATACAGTCTTAAAACATCTGCCACTGTTGCTAGCGTATCATCGGTTGAGGATATTAAAGCGATAGGCACTGATATTTGACTCAAAGGATACTCTTCAGTTTCATAATTAAACTTGTGAAATTTACCAGTTTTTATCAACTGCGCATAATGTAGTACTGTGTTAGTTGAACCACCTGCAGGAACATGATACATTAATCTCGCTAGAAAACTTCTATCTAAATATTCTGTGTCGCTTGGTATCGCTCCTGCAAAGAAAAATAATGGATTGCAACAGAATAGTTCAGGGCCTTGACAATATTTATTAGAAATCCAGTGTGGAACTTTCCTCTTCGGTATGAATTCTCCATTTCCCAGTAGTTTTAATAAATGCATAGGTGGATTAAAGGCCATTGCTCGAAGTATTCGAAGAGGTCCCTCTGTATTTGACAAAAACGCTAGTGGAGCTAAAAATATTGCTAGTTTAAAACTGCTACTATACTGTGGCAACGAAGACAGTAATACTAAAAATGCCGACGCGCCCATAGAATAGCCAATATAATTGATTTTGCTACTCGTGTTTTTAACAGTTTTCATATATTCTATAACAGCTGGTAAATCATAATACCCCATTTCGTGCCATGAAAATTTCCAGAAGTCTGTACTATCTACTTGTTTGGACGTGTGCCCGCGAGAGTAATAGTTCCCTCTAGCGTTGGCCATCCAAACATCGTATCCAAGGTTAGACAGTATATACGGTAGAGAATCATCTGAACCTAGTAAAATCCAATCAGCTGAGCTACCCAATAAACCGTGGTGAAGCAACACTGTTTCATTGTTACAATAACTTTTGTCTCCATCTCTTCGACAGGGCGAAATTAAGCGATGTAAAGTTAAAAAATAGCCATCCTTCGTCAAAACAATGTGTGATTCAATGCGCTTTCCGTGAAGTGTCGCCAGCTGCGGGGTCGACATTAAAGCAGTTGGATCAGATTTCAAAGTTAAATATTCAGGCGATTCTGTCTCACTTTCAGCCGCCATTTCGTCGACGAAATCACTGAACGCCTTGTTAGTTCTTGACTTTCTGTAATTAGTTAGGGGCAAATCGGTTTCCTTTTTATTAATCATGTCGGGGAAAAAAAAATCCTTCATTTTCACACGAAACGATTTAAACGCTACTTTTATTGAATGTGAAAATTGATTCATTTTGTCACTAATTACGTCGATAATAGCATATGAATTAACGCAATGATTGTGGTAAAATAGAAGGATTGCAGACACTAGTATAAGCTTCATTTTAGTACTGTACGTGCGTAGGCTTCGGTTAATACTACAATCTAAATTTGGTTATGCCTATGACATCATATAAAGGTGATGTAACTATTGTATAATTTCTAAAACAATAGAAGATAACTAATGAAATATGTTTACATTGTTCAATTACTATTACAAAATTGTTTAATAAACTATTGAAAACGATCAGTGAGAAAACTCCACTATCAAAAGTTTGTATACCAATTATCCAAGCGTAATACGAAAAATATTAAAGTGAGATGTTACGGATGTTCAGAAGTTTATTTTTTAACGACGTAAACAATTTAAATCTAATGCAATATGCAAGTGGAGGTGAGTCAACCTTCCTATTGCACCCTCTCTCAGCAATATCATTAAAAATGTATAATGAAAATAAGTAAGATTTGTCCTTTTCGAGTAACATACCTATTATACGCATACATTTTGCCGTTTATGCTTTATATGAAGCGACGTCAACAGAAATAAAACGGTCATTGCAGTTGAATTTACTGATTTTAATTAATAATTTCCTCCTATAATCAGTAATGATAATTTCCATGTATCAAAGTCAATGGTGATTTTCAACAACTGAATGTACTAAAGTTTGACGTAGTATCGAGTAATAGGTGATTGGTTTTCAATTGATACCTTCTCATTTATAAATATAAACAACTTTCAATGATATTACAGACCGTGTAACTCAAAACCATAATATAAGGAAAAATGGGGTATACTACCTTAGTAAGCATAATACTATTTTATGACTTAAGACTTGTCTAAATATTAAATAAATTGCTTAAGTAACTGTTAAAAGTTGCTTGTGAGACAAGAAAATATATGGGGCTATTTTTTTAAGAAATAGCATAAAGGTTAGTCGACATCACCGGAGACCGAAGAGCTGGCAGCGACCTCGGACAAAGAATTAGTCTAGTTATTTAAATGGGAACACTGCTAGTATCTTCGGAACCATGCCTAAAGGTACTCCTTTAAATAATTTATTTTAAGTTATTATATTTTAAGGTTATTTATTGTTTTTAGTTATATTAATTTATGTTAGCTGCATAGCAATTAACATTTCATTATTCGGTATATTGGCTTATATACAACTAAAGTTTATGTATAACTCTGTAGCGGTCATGCGGAAATGGAATAATACACCAATAACACTCCATACATGAGTTTGGAAGCAAGTGAAATTGGGCGGATTTACCTACGAACACGGCTCATATAAAATGCACCACAGCACCTTTTGCCTCCTATCTCGCTCCCTGTTTCCCCCCATTTATAAATGATTCCAGCTCAATTCCACCGACGTCCGCCGTTATATTGTTTGACTTTTTGACCACTGTCCAATTTTTCTATTTTTTAATATAAAAATTACTTTTAGCTTTAATTGATGTGTTGACAAGGGACACCCAGTACTCGGCTGTGTTTTAAATGTAAACGTCAGAACAAATATTTATTTGATAAAATCTGAGACACAGACCTAAAAAAGGTTGTACCGCTACTTTTGTGTATATAATAACATCGTCTTCGTTTATATATTTTCTGGAGATCAGAGTAATTTTTTAATAGTAAAATTTAACAAATTCAAAATCTGCTCTTGCGAAAACAAACAATTGTTAGAAAAGTAGAATAATAGTATTTTGTATATCGATTGTTACTATATTATTATAACGAATTTGTTAGAACGGGACGTAAATGTTTATTTGTTTTCTCAATACCCCTAAGTACAGGCTCTTTCGTACAATACATTATATGTTATATTAAAGCTGCTTGCCAAGCTTCTTAATATATACGAATATCTAAATGCTGCGCAGATTCAGCCTTCATTGAAATCTGGTATCAGCCTTGCGATTCTGTAACTCACTTTTCGAACTCTCACAGCGGTTTTCGCAGCGGCGGTCGCGCTCAAATCAGTCGCGAAGCAGTCATTTTACGATTTGGAATTCTGATAAGGAGGGGGCCTGTAGTTTATTGTTTGAATTTTTTATTGTGAGAGTTAGAAAAGTTAGTTACAGAATCGCAAGGCAGGATCAGAGTTCCCGGCATTTAAAGATGATTTAGATGTAACTGACGATGGTTATAAAACCATAATTTTTGCTACAATTTTCTTTCACACAGAAACACTTATATATAATTTATTTGTTTGCACCGTCTATTGACAGTTATACAATACAAAGATAACAAAACAAAAGAACACAAAGAAGCAACAACAATAAGTGTTTTATAGAAGTATAGTAACTCTTCTAATATAATAACACACAAATCTCTTCTATTTTTTAAAGGTACCATGGCAAACAATTTCATTGTTCTATTAATTACCGGTACACACACGTACAAAACGTCTACTGTATCTAGATTTTTTAAAAGTAATAAAACCGTATTTTACATGGATGAAGTCCCGGGCTTGGGTGATATTAAAAATTCCATATGATTTTTACTTACTAATAAGTGTAGGTAAGACATTTTTTTATTTATTTCCCACGCAACGTCAAAAGATTTTATATTAAAAGTAAAATGTTGCCATGTTATAAGTATTTTATTTTCGTCCTGTTGTAGATATCAAATAACTTGCCTAATGTTGGATTTAATTAAAACAGCACCATTGAGAATTTAATTTAATTAGCGTCAGGGTAATTTTAGGGATCATCTCCCTTGTTTTTATCTCTTAGCTAATGGAATAAAAAAGTATATTACAATAATTAAACCAAGTTCAAATACCGGTCACCATCACTTAGGTATGATCATCACTATACATATTCCCTCCAGAAATACGTGGATAAAAAACTACTGATGATGATACTTTAATACAATTTTTACTGCTCTATAAGCTATAAGCTAGAATGTACCAGAATCATCTCAATTTTTTCTCGATCATTTTTAGTTTCCTAACAAATTGTGGACTATCATTGTTGCCGCATGATCATAATGTTCTTAAAAGTTTTTTGTCTGTTTTGATAATTTAAGGTGGTAAATATAATCTCTAGTCGAAAATAAAAAAAATGAACTACCGAGATTCGTTAAGTATGCACCCCTGATGTCGTTCGAATCTTTGTGTGTCAAACAAAGAAGGCTAAATGTGTACACATTTCTACTTAGGTTTCGGAAGACAAGCCTTCAGGGCCTGGCATCTGCATCGTTTGTTAGCTTTTGAAGTGCTGGTGTCTTTTCTACTGTTTTCTTTCACCGCTAATAAAGTTGAGGGTCAATATATATAGTCGAATCGCAATAAAGCAAAAATAGTTTTATATATATTTATATTATATATTTTCAAACATATATTTTATTATAAATTGTCTAAATATAGTTAAAGCTTGACTAACAACAATAAAAGTTTGATTAAAATAATAATCAACATTCTCATTCCGTTTTCAATCAAACTTTTAGAGCGTCTCTGGAAGTTTCGTTTGAATCCACTACACGATGTATCCTATAAAACTATATAAATGTGTACTTCTGACACCACAGAATAACAAGTAATTTTAATTTTCGAGTGTCTATGTAAGATCATGATATTAAAACATATGCAACTTTGGTTAAAATAACAAATTTATATTTTTTTTATATATGATCGAGCTAATTTTATGTGTGGGAATTTTGATATGCAATTTCCTATTTTTATTGATAATTGCATTAATTTATGTACATAATAATAATAAATAATACAAACTTTATTTATGACAAAAGGTTGTGACGAGCTACATACTTTTATTATTTTAATCTCTGTTTAAACATTTAATCTATAAGTTTTATTCTTATAGATTCAATATTTGTTTTATATTGTAATATAATTAGAGCGTCATGTATTTTAATTTTTTACTAGATGCCTCCGCGAATTTCATGACGCCTTAATATGTTTTTACTTAGCCTACAAATAAAAACTATATGTTTTATAATTAGGAATAAAAAGGAATAAAGCAAAAAAATACTTCAATTGGTTCAGCCGACTTCGACCTATCCAACCGATGACTGCGCGTAAACGGTTGCCATCCAAGATTCTACGCGTGCCTGTTGATGATGAAGAAATTAACCGGCTCATAGAACACATCAAAACAGCTAAAGATTCCCTGCTCGTAAAGGTTACTCGCTCGACCGCTGAAATCGTGATACTTGGCGATTTTAACGCCCACGATGCCGACTGGCTCGGCTCTAAAACCACTGATCATGCGGAAAGATATAATAATAATACTTTATTATTATTATAATAGATAATGTATATCACATTTTTGTATCTGGAGGTTAGATACCAAACAAATTTGCTCTTGCATCATAATTTGGGGTGAATATTAAAAATAAAACTAAGCACAGGACCGTTGCCCGTCATGTAATTAGATCGACACGAACAGCCAAATTAGTTAGTAAAATATGCATAACGTTGTAAAGCTTTCTTTGACTTAATATTAGTGACGCTTAAATATTCAAAAGGATTAAAAAGATTAAGGAGCAGGTTTAATTTAAATAATACTATGCAAATTGTTTGCAAATAAATTCGTTTAACATTAGAACTTATTTTAAAAATGGAAATAATTTAAACGAAGAATGTCTTATTTTATGAAGAGTATAATTTTTTTTAAATATTGTATAAACTAAATATATTTTAAATTTATTTGCTAAATTCATGTCATATATTTACACTGTATTATATATATGTAGTGTTGACTGTTTCCGCACCTAAGTGCTCATTTGGTCCGTTATAATATATTAATTAACCAGTATTCATTGTATGACAAATATTGCATCAATAAATTTGAAATTAGACTGTTTGCTTCAGGTTTAGTATATTTGTGTCTTATAGAACACACTCACACCCCTCAACCCTCGACCACGAAATGGCGTGCTCATAAAAAATTAAAGGTAAGAACAAACTATTGACCCGTTTTGCTCGCTGCGCTCCTATTGGTCCAGTCTCAACCTATAATATAGCTATGATCAGAATAATCAAGTCCAGGAAATAAAAGGAATGTTTTTGTAATATGATTTTTTCTATTCATAATGGAAACTTTTACAAAGTCGATAACAAATAAACATCAAAACACTAATGACATATTTTGTCACTTTTGTGAATCGAAGTAAATATTAATACAACCTAATTTTTTTACATTGGCTCATTCGAAACGTGCGTGGAAAAAATGTTTAATTCACAACGACTGTATTATCTTCGAAATATTAATAAACGATTTAAGTCCAAATCAACAAAAGACAGCGTGAAAAATTCACAAATAATATCAAACAAATCCACAATCAAGTATGTAAGCGCCAACGATGTGAACAATTTAAAACTATCAAATAAATCCAAAGGGTTTGCCAAAATAGGTGCATGTGTCTATTTAAATATTCCAAATGCAAAATATGGCACAGATAGTTCAAAAGCAGCAAAACCAAGTTCAAAAGCAGAAAAACCAAGTTCAAAGGCAGAAAAACCAGCCGGTGGTCCTCCAAAAGCAGCAGGAGCAGGTGCAAAGGGTAAAATAATTGCTGTTATTGGTGCTGTCGTTGATGTTAAATTTGATAAAGACTTGCCACCAATATTAAATGCCCTTGAAGTACCTGGTCGGACACCAAGACTAATTTTAGAAGTAGCACAACATCTCGGTGAAAGTACGTGTCGTACTATAGCTATGGACGGAACAGAAGGTCTGGTACGTGGCCAACCAGTTGTAGATACTGGAGCTCCTATTACAATTCCTGTTGGTGAGCCCACGCTTGGTAGGATTATTAATGTTATAGGAGAACCGATTGATGAACGAGGGCCAATAGCAACGGATAAGTTTGCTCCAATTCACGCTGATGCACCCCCTTTCGTTGAAATGTCTGTGGAGCAAGAAATTCTTGTCACTGGCATCAAGGTTGTTGATTTACTGGCTCCCTACGTAAAAGGTGGTAAGATTGGATTATTTGGAGGTGCTGGTGTTGGAAAAACAGTTTTAATTATGGAACTCATCAATAATGTGGCCAAAGCTCATGGTGGCTTTTCTGTATTCGCAGGAGTCGGTGAACGTACAAGAGAGGGTAATGATTTATATAATGAAATGAAAGTTGGTGGTGTTATCAAAGAAGACTACAAGACGTCCAAAGTAGCTTTAGTATATGGGCAAATGAATGAGCCACCTGGAGCTCGAGCCCGCGTTGCTTTAACAGGTCTAACTTTAGCAGAACACTTTAGAGACAAAGAAGGTCAAGATGTATTATTATTCATAGACAATATTTTTAGATTCACTCAAGCAGGATCGGAAGTGTCGGCTTTACTTGGTCGTATTCCGTCTGCCGTAGGATATCAGCCAACATTAGCTACAGATATGGGTACAATGCAAGAAAGAATTACGACCACCACTACTGGTTCTATTACAAGTGTGCAAGCAGTATACGTTCCAGCTGACGATCTGACCGATCCTGCTCCGGCCACCACATTTGCCCATCTAGACGCCACAACGGTACTCTCAAGAGCCATTGCTGAGTTGGGAGTATATCCTGCTGTTGATCCCTTAGATTCAACATCCAGAGTGATGGATCCTAATATTATAGGCGCCGAACATTATGGAGTAGCAAGAGGTGTTCAGAAAATATTACAAGATTATAAATCTCTGCAAGATATTATTGCAATTCTGGGAATGGACGAGTTGTCAGAGGACGATAAATTGACAGTGGCGCGTGCACGAAAAATTCAACGTTTCTTATCACAGCCTTTTCAAGTAGCTGAGGTATTTACAGGTCATGTTGGTAAAATGGTTAAACTAGAAGAGACAATTAAAGGGTTCAAGAGAATTTTGGCTGGAGAATTGGACAACATACCAGAGGCTGCTTTTTATATGGTAGGTACAATCGAAGATGTTATAGCAAAGTCACAGTCATTGGCAAAGTCCTAAATTGACTTTGGTTGAATTGATTGATTTAACTTTACTCAAGAAAGTATTTATATTTTAATAATGTAATTAAATTATTTGTTTGTGGTCTATTGTATATTTTATTGTATAAAAATATTCTCAATGTTCGCGTTAGAGAAATGAAACTAGCTTATTCCAAGAATCCAATGTTTTATTAAATCTGTATCGTTTCGGTAGTGGGAGCATAAAATCAAGTCAAAGGAAAAGGTCACTGCTATATTAAATTTGGATTAAGATTAAAATACGTTATTAAAAGAGTTACCCTCCCACAAACAAATATTACATTTCTCATACTAAAAGTAACGGACATTTGATCGGTACATAATAGCTCTTTATTTCTTTCCTCCTCTCCCTCACGAGATATTTTATGTTTCAATATCTGCGTGGACTTATTAATTTGAGCCTGAGGGGTCCATTCCACCCTAACAGCAGTGTTTTATACATATACAATCGATACAGTGCTTTTATTTTTATTACCTGCACATTTATACATATACGTATTCCTTGTCTTGAATTTATTTAAACACAAAATTAACTACAATTTTGACTCCGTTTTTTAATTTTAAAATTTCTTTCAATTAACTTTTCATAATAATTACACAATTTAATGAAGCTGCTGGATTTATTATGTAATTTATATTGGCCTACTGGTTTCAGCGTGCGACACTCATCCCTGAGGTCGTAGGTTCGATTCCCGGCTGTGCACCAATGGACTTTCTGTCCATGTGCTAATTTAATATTCGCTCGAACGGTGAAGGAAAATATTGCAAAGAAAACGGCTTGCCTTAGACCAAAATCGTCGAAGGCGTGGGTCAGGCACGAGGCTGACCATCTACTTGCCTATTATATTGACAAATGATCTTGAAACAGATTCAGAAATCTGAGTCCCATACCTAAAAATATTGTAGCGCCAGTGATTTATTTTATATTGGTTTAAGGTGACCTCTGATATTATACTTATTTTGGTCGCAGAGCTAGCGCAGTGAGTGAGGTGAAATTCAATAAAATACTATTAAAATTAATACCGGCACTTTAATCGCATTTCTACGGATCCATTACATTAAAGATCCGAATAGTATACAGACTGTTTAGAGGGGTTGACCTGTTAGGCTAGCATCACACGAGTCGACCCAAAGTTGCGCAACAATAGGCATACTTATTAATCTCAGCACAAATAAAATAAGTAAGTTAATATTATACTACTTTACTTTAAATTAGTTAATATAATAGAGTTAGCAACTCCCCAAAATGGAGATAATAATGTGTCTATTGTTCCAAGAGAACAATAGACACATTATTGTATTTGTTTTAATATTTTTTAAACCCCTAGGCAAGCAGTTCCAACCGGTCTTATTTTCTCACTTAAATGCCACATAAGACATCCAAAGTTCTCGTGCTTAGTAAGCCAATTTTATGGAAAATATTTCAATAATCAAAGCGTTAATATAGCAAAATTATGATCGCGAGGCACAAAAAATAAATCTTGAAATCTTATCTCATTGGAAATAACAGAGTACTAGCGCTGGTCGGGAACAATGTTATGAGATACAATTTTTTAATTTAATTAAATCCTATTAAATTTATTAAAGCAACTGTAAATTAAACTAACAAGTACAATTAGTATGTATTTTTGTTTTCTTTGTACGTGTATGCAACTCATAAGCGATATTTTGTCATGGCTACCGAACAAATGATATGTGTATTTAATTAAATGTTGTGTGCACGTGTTTCTTGAACATATTATGTTTATTATAGTTTTGGTGTAAGTAGGCTTATGTTTGAAGTAACATAAATTAAAAAAAAAAACATTGTTATTTGAGCGTATACTGTACGTTAATAAGTGTTTCAGGTGGCTGATTGGAACAAGTGAAGAAGAAAACAATTCTAGAAGGTAGGTAGGCTGCTTTGACACCTTTACTTTGTAACTTTATACTTTATGCCACGAGCCTCGCAAACAATGAAATTGACAGGGTTTAGTATGAAAATAGATTACTCCCACGCGAAGCTCACTATAATTGTGACGTTAATGTGTACCGCCTACCGACTCTTCATTTACACTTTGCTTATAGCCTGGAAACAATACAGATTTTGAAATTTGTCTATTTCATAAATTTTGATCCACGAGAGATGAACAACCTGGAAAAGTATTCACAATCCAGTCATTGGATTACTTTTATTAATTTGAATTGTTCTTTATATACTCATGTGGCAGATTATATACATTAATATCATATCAGTTTAATTTATCTTTGAACAAATAAAATCTTTAAAGAAGAGTCAATAATCCAAGTAAATAACATAGCTAGAGTATAGGTTTCTAAACAACGAAGATTGACGTATAGGGCAATAGTAAGAAATAAAAAATGCGGGAAACTGTACCATTACGCTAACACGCTTTCATATTCCTTTTATAATTTACATATCTATTTAGTAAATCCCAAACAGTTGATTCTTATTTAAAATATTCGTTTGCGATTTCATACAGGCACAAAAAAAGCAAACTGACATTTAGATGTCACGTTTTTATAGTGACGTAACTTATCAAATATTTTGGTCAAAAATGTCTTTAAGAAAGGTAATGAAGGGTGTACCCTTGGACCCGCTGCCGGCTAAAGGGATTCTATATAGAGATGAAGATGCGCTTACCACCTGCCAACGAGAGTGTGTGGCCCGGGTTGGTACCACCCTTCAATTGGAGCAAGAGTCGTATCTTTCCAGACATCCAGAGGTATTGATTTGATAATTTAGCTTTGGTTTTAGCAGACTTCCTTATGGTCAAGCAATTTTGTATAATTTATATATAAATATTTTCTAACCATGGCTATGATTAACGATATGTAATCTCTTTGATAAAAAAAATTGGAAATGTACTCTGAAAGATTGAAAAAACTTTCATACAAAAGCTACATAATTTTCGTTCATACAAATTAAAACATTAAATTTTCCACTTGTCATAAATCATAATACTGTTTCTGACTATTATGATTATTCGAAACAAATCTTTTTTAGATAACGTATTGGTGTCTCGCTTTATTCTATATATATATATATATATATATAGCTGAAATTTTTGCATGATATATAATCCGCATCAAGAATTGGTTTCATCTATCTTTTTTTTTATTTTTTCATTTTCTTTCCACAAGTACCTATTGCAAAATAAAACTTATATGAAATGTATTCTTTGTTTTGTTTCTCATTTCTCAACCATTCAATCACATTGTGCCACAGCGAAGCGTGGCGGGGTACAGCTAGTATTTTATATTAAACTAACTTATCTATATAACTATCTTATTACCAACTTAACACTAACTCTAAATATAATAGCAATAACCTTTTTGTGAACTGCTACACCACTGGCAATTTCTACCTATTGATACTATACATCTTCGACCACACAGTCTCCATTATATGGTAACACCCCGCTTGCTATAAAATTTCAATCGTGCCTTCCGTGTACCTTTCAACCTCTCGGCCGGTACCATACAGTAGGGCTTCAAGGCACTTAAGGTAGTAGTCGCCTAATAAGTATACATGGCTACGGGGCCCTTCGATAGCAATAACCTATTTAAATGAGAAATAATTGTTCTTTCTGTTAACATTGTGCTTTTTGTTTCCCATATCACATTTTTATCTCTTGTAAATTAAACCTGCCAATCTCATGATAAAATTTCACTGTCTAATGGTTTCATAAATTATCTGTAATGGTTACAATAAACATAAGTTTGAAAACTACAATGTTGAACTTGCGGTTTAGCATGAGATTCCCTGATAATCGTGTGTTTGAACCTGGGTGCACCATTATTTTTCAAGTAGCTAGTAGTGTGATAACATCGTAAGAATAGCAGTCTAAAAACCAAAATCTATAAAGTGAGACACTGATTTCCATCCGCCTTCACCGGGGAAGGCGTGGACCTTTACTTCGTACTTCGCTCACTCCAATGAGCTTCCGTCCTGCCATTCAGACAATTGACCACCCCGCGGCGGCCCAAGCCGATGTCCGAGTTTCGCAGGAGACACCCTTGCGCTACATGAAATATTACAATTGATTAAATCATCAAACGCTGCCAAGGGCTAATTGACCATAGAAATGGCATTATGCTAATTAGGAATTTAGTACGCTTACATGCGAACTACTTGAGCTAATATAATATTTAATACTATTTACTGTATTCACTTAGTGGCCAATTAGCATGATTAATAAATGAATGCATGCTGAACTCTAAATTTGATGAAAAAAAAATTTAATTCGTGAGAATGAATAGCAGAAGTTTTTTATGAAATAAAGATTAGTGATATCTACTTGTTTCATTTTTCAAGTTTTTGTCGAGTCGAAAATTCTTTGTCTTAGATAGTATGAAGTATAAATATTTTTTATTAGCTAATTTATTATATATCTATGTTTAATCAGTCGTTAACTAATCGGGACTTAAATTTCGTACACGGTTCCAACTATAATTATTAATCTAACTAACTAGTATTATTAAATGAACGTATAGATAACGTCAATTTGTTCATCAAAGAGAGATGTGGTCCTTTGAAACTGATATTGTTGTTGTAATGTTGTTGAAATACAAATACTACAAACAGTATTGATTCTATTAGATGTTGGCTTCATGTATTACTGAATTTACCTGCAGTGAAATCACATGTTTATTTTATATCCAGCCTTAGTTATGGTAATATTTTTTTTTTTATGTAACAGGAGGCAAACGGGCAAGAGGCTCACCTGATGTTAAGTGATACCGCCGCCCATGGACACTTACAAAGCCAGGAGGCTCGCAAGTGCGTTTCCAGCCTTTTAAATAATGGTACGCTCTCTTCTTGAAGGACTCTAAGTCGAATTGGTTCGAAAATACTTCAGTGGGCAACTGGTTCCACATACTAGTGGTGGGCGGCGAAAATTGTCTTAAGAATCCCTCAGTTGTGAAACGTCGGACGTCGAGGTGATACGGCTTGTATGTTGTATTGTGATTGACGTCCTATGATGAAACTCAGCTGCAGGTACTAGTCTGAACAACTCCTCTGAACACACTCCACGGTAAATACGGTAGAAGATGCAGAGAGATCCCACATCTCTACGCATCGCCAAGGGATCAAGCCGCTCGGAAAGTGACGATTCGAATCGCTCTTCGTTGGATACGGTTAAGCGGAAGGAGCTGGTACTGGGAGCCCAGAGGTGAAAACAGTTTTCCATGTGGGCCGAATTTTTGCTATGGAGGCAATTTAATAAAGACAATAAAAATGCCTCAATTTCTATTCTTTCAATCATAAAACCTTAATATTAGTACGAGTAAAAATGAACTAATTAATCTTGAATATACCACGTTCATTCATTTTATAGTATGTAAGGATTTTTTATAGAACAGGGCTAAACGGGAGGCTCACCTGATGTTAAGTGATACCACTGCCCATGGACACTCTCGATGCCAGTGGGCTCGTGAGTGCGTTGCCGGCCTTTTAGGATCTTTGTACCCCTTGTTTAACGTAAACATAATTTATCAATTGGATTTCGGAGTTATAAGGTCTTTAAAAGGAACACAAATTTATATTTCTTTGTGTCATAATTTCTGGATAAAAAATAATTTAACCAACTTCAGAAAGTATAAAGTAAGTGCGTTTGATTTGAATTGTTCTTATACAGGGTGTCCCAAAAGTCGACGTCAAGTCGAAATTTTCTCATAGGTAATGCCACACCAGTTATCAGAAAAATTAAAAAAAAATTAAGTCATGTATTTTTGAAGTTATGGATATTTTTTGTAATTCCAGAAAATGTACACCATGTGACAGTTTTTGCCAATTTTTTTTCTCTTACGTCATCCCGAATAGTGCTTTATGTAACCTATGATCCTAAACCCTGTGCCGATCACTCCAACTTGTAGGAAAATGTCATTTTATACCGTACCAAGTTTTCAAAATTAATTTTTCGCACTAGTTCAACTGATCGTCCTGAAAAAAAAATGTACTACTCCAGATTGGCAAGCAAAAGTTCGCGCATTTAATAAGGATTCTAACGTGGTATAATACTTACTTCATTATTTCTTAGATCGGCCATAAAAAAATTTTTTGTTAAACAAAGTCTGTTTTTTAAAAATTTCTCAGGAATTACAAAAAACTATTCTAGTGTACCCAAAGCGTTCCTAATAACCACAGCGTGGTTTAAATAAGATGGCGTAAAGTGTGAGCGAGACAGATAGTGACACTACTTATTGCTATTGACACACGCACTACAGGTCAGTACGCAACGCTCCTTCGTTTACTACGCATCTTTTCGTATTCGCTGGTGTTATTTTGTGTTCTAACTACATTGGCTTCGTTTACGGACTTGTTTGCTTGTGATTTGGATTTTACATTTGTGATCTACGATGACCTTTACTTTTCCCTGGACTTACGTGTTATTGTGTATTTGTACCATACCATGGCTACGTACACTACACAGGAATATGCTAACATGCACCTCATTTATGGGGAATGTTTATGTAATGCCAGTGAAGCCGCTAGATGGTATCGCGAGAGATACCCTAATGCAGATCGCTATCCGGATCACAGAGTTTTTACCAATGTGCACCGTCTACTGTTCTCTGAGGGCCGACTGCCAAACCAAGTGCACGGTGAAGGTAGAATTTCACTACCCTACGAGGCAGTTGTCCTTCAAGCAGTTGATGAGGACCCAAGTTGTTCGGTACGTGGAATTGAGGCCAGCACAGGTGTGCCCAAAGTACAGCTCACCGAATACTACAAAAAAATGAGTTCCATCCATTTCATGTACAGCGAGTACAATCCTTATTACCTCGAGATTATGAACCTCGGGTTGCTTTTTGCCAAACAATAATTCAAAAACACCGAGAAGACCCACAATTCTTAGAAAAAAATTTATGGTCGGATGAATCAACTTTTAAAAAAGACAGCTACATGAACCTACACAATCTGCACGAGTGGCACGTCGAAAATCCACGATTGATGAGACCAGACAGATCCCAGTACCGTTTCAAAGTTAACATGTGGACTGGAATTTTGAACGGAAAAGTCATAGGGCCTTTTGAGTTACCAGAAGTTTTAAATGCTGAAATTTATTTAGATTTCTTACAAAATCATTTGCCCAATTTGCTGGAGGACGTGCCGCTTACTATTTTACGAGATATGTGGTTCCAGCAAGATGGTTGTCCAGCGCATTACAGCCGCGTAGTTCGAAACCACCTTAACGAGGAGTATCCAGACAGATGGATAGGGCTGGGTGGTACAATCTCGTGGCCCGCCCGCTCACTCGATTTAAATCCTCTTGATTTTTTTTACTGGGGAGCATTAAAGGAAAAAGTCTATTCCAAGTCGATTCAAAATGTAGAAGAGCTTAGACAGAGAATAGCGGAAGCAGTAGAATTTGTGAATAATGGACGATTTGCCCGCTTCATTTCACGATCTTTTTTAAGGAGATGTCGAGCCTGTATTGCAGCTGAAGGACGGCAATTTGAACATCTTTTATGAAAAAAGTAATAACTCTAATCATAAAAAAGAAACTGTCTATTTTACTTATTTGCGTCCGTATGTCATAAGCGTCACTATCTGTCTCGCTCACATTTTATGAAATGTCTCTCTCCATCTTATTTAAACCACGCTGTGGTCATTAGGAACGTTTTGGGTGCGCTAGAATCACTTGTTGTAATTTCAAAGAGATTGTTAAAAACAGACTTTGTTTAACAAAAAAAATTCTTATGGCCGATCTAAGAAATAATGGACTCAGTGTTATACCACTGTAGAATCTTTATTAAATGCGCTAACTTTTAAAGCTACTTGCCAAACTGGAGTAGTACATTTTTTTTTTCAGGACGATCAGTTGAAGTAGTGCGAAAATTAATTTTGAAAACTTGGTACGGTATAAAATGACATTTTCCTAAAAGTTGGAGTGATCAGCACAGAGTTTAGGAAGAAAAAAAAATTGGCAAAAAGTAAATATTTGTAACAACAGGAATGAAAAAACTGTCACATGGTGTGCATTTTCTGGAATAACAAAAAAATATCCATAACTTCAAAAATACATGACTTATTTTTTTTTTTAATTTTTCTGATAACTGGTGTGGCATTACTTATGAGAAAATTTCGACTTGACGTCGACTTTTGGGACACCCTGTATAATAAGAAAATAACATTAAGTTCGACGAGCAAGGTAAGTACAAAAGCTTACTAAAAATACACCTACTTTACGCCAAGACGAGAAGAGAGAAGTATGGTGACATTTGGGAGAGAGCGTACATTTAATTGTTGGCGAGCGTCAAGAGTTTTGCGTGTTTTATATAATACTAGCGACCGGCCCCTGCTTCGCACGGGTGCAATGCTGATACTAAATTCAAAGTGCTATAGGGAGAACCGCGGCCTCCGACGCGCTATTAATAGGCACGCTACCGCAATTTTAAATCTGTAATATCTTCAAAAAAATTAATTTAAATCATATGCTGTAAAGGGCCATTTATATCTATATTAAAACAACAATGTATTTAGGGTATTTAATTGGAATAGGATTAATGCTGTATTGGTTAAAATCGCTTCGAAAATTAGCTATTATTTGTCGTAAAAAGTGAATGACAAAAACAAAGTTATTGTGGGATATCCATAAGAGATAGACATATATGAAGTTTTCTGTAGACCTTTTCAATGTGTACAATAGATTTAGAACTAGAACGTTATTTTGATAAATCTCGTAGGGTTCAGCCTGCGTTTGCAATGTAAGCGGAAAATTGTAATTATTTACGACATCACATTAGAAACCTCAAAAAATAACAGTATTTCTCCGCTATTTAATGGATATTATTATACATATAAACCTTCCTCCTTTTATTTTTTATGTTGTATAACTGTAAATAGTATTTGCAAACAAGTAAATTTTATTTAATAAGGTATTAATATTTATGTTATTAGTAACAAAAAATTAAGGGATAAAACAGGGTTTGCTGACGTTGTGTATAAAACAAAAGCACTAAAATGGAAATGGGCTGGACATACCATAAGAGGAGCAGAAAAATGGAGCAAAATTGTTACACTATGGCAACCAAGAGGCCATAAAAGAAACAAAGGGAGGCAATTTAAGAGGTGGGCTGATGAAATCGTGGAAATGGCAGGAAAGACTAAGACCTGGACGAGATTGGTTTACAATAAAGAAAAATGGAGGACAATGGGGGAGGCCTTTGCCCGTAGGCACACAGAATCTGTTATCATAGATTAAGGAAAATAACAGTTATAATGTATATATTTTGTATTCTGATATAAGGCTATAATAAATAAATAAATAAAAATATTTATGTTAAAAAAATGGTAGCAGTAATAATGATTCTTTAATGCTAGTTTCGATTAGGTAATTTATATACCAAAAATTAATACTCTTCTGACTTCTCTAAAACAATATTGATAATTACGATGCAATAGAGATAATTTACAAAGTTTAGAACGTTCAAATAAAATTATTTAAAGGATTTGTACTTATAACCCGGGATAATGTAATATTTAAAAATTATACACAAGTAATTGGCGTAAAGCTTGGTTAAGCGTAAAGTAATTGCGAATTTCATGAAGACGCTAAATTTTTTACATTTACCTTGAAAGTTTTTATTACTTTGTGTGGTGGGAGGAGGAGTGGCGGTGATGCAAACCTATATAATTCTTATTAGAGCGTTATTTAATTTAACAAAATTAAAAAAAAAATCGTATGAAGTATCAATATGATTACTGTCGCACTAAATAAAGGTAATTTTGCACATGCTACCTCAATCTCACGACAGTTCTCTTTCCGCACAGACACTTCTCATGTGAGTAGTTGTTGCCTTAAATACATATTTATTAAATATACGATATCCAAACAGATACGGGCAATACTAGAGACGTTTGTTAGTAAAATGACCAGAGAAAACAAGCGGAAAGGTATTTTAAAGGAAGCAGCAGAATATTTTACGAAACCAATAGAAGAACTTGAATCTGAGATCAAAGAACACCTCAACATTTCGGAGGGAAGTTCTTTCATTAAGGTGTGTATGAAAATTATTTCTACTAATCTCAAAATACTGTATCAGTTTTAATCTTAGCTTAAGAAATAAAACGAAAATATAATTAATTGATTACATTAAATTATATATATTTAACAGGTAATCCTATCATAGATTTCAGACCAAGGCCTGCCTATTTCTTAAGTAAAGTAGTCTTAAAATATTTGTTATCAAAAACTACGCACTTCATGGCTGGACATTTATTTTATGGCTAGAAATAAATAGTAAAAGCTTGTAAAGGGTATTGATAGTAATAACATTAAGAACTGTAAAGCCTGTATAAGGTCAAGTGACAATAGAATTGGCATATCAAAGGTTTCTGTAGAATGTCAGCTCTCTCGGTTCTCGTTAAGTACATAAGACGCTTAATAGCTAGAGTAGACATCAAACGTTTTCTGACGTTCAGTATATTCAATAGACGAAGGAAATGCAACCCCAATTAATTGCTAGTACAGGTTGTAAAGGTAACTTTGAAGTGAATTCTATGAAATTGCAATAGTCAAGTTCTGCAGCAATTTAAAATAGTATCAATTGAATAGTATTTAATTCGTTTATAGAGATTCATTGCTTTTTTTACGAATTTTCTGTAAAATTGCAACGGTTAATACTGAGTCCGGCCGAGAGCTAGATTGCGCTCGCTGGCTAGTTTTTGTGAGGAACACTTCAGTGTGCTCTTCAGTTATTGCACCTAGTTCTATTGAAGTAGTGTACCGGTGGATATTATCAAAAAATTGTTTATTTCAGGTAAAAAAACATGATGATGACTTGGAAAATAAGTGATTCTATAATAATTTGTTTAAATAGTCTAAGTGTAACTTTGAGAACAGCAGCAGCAAGTTCTAGGTCCTTCTCGAACTTTATCTGACTCGCCAAAGCCCGAGAGGCTTCTCATGACTAGTCGAGACTATTTATTTATTTCCTATCTTTACAGTAATTAACAGTTAATACTAATACAATACAAAACAAGAAAACATAAAATACATTTCTATAACTAATTATAAATAATACAATTCTTGTGAATTCAGCCAGTGTGTTACTAAATTTATTCATCTCACATGCAATAATATTTAGGGTGCGCACTGCGTAATATGTGCGTAAATGGCGCATCTCTAAGTAAATTTGTACGCGCTCGAGGCACTGCAAGCAATTGCGACCGCTCTCCACACCGAGTTTGGTTATTTGGCCCACGCAGCTCAAGTCTCTCCAACATTTCCCAATTATATATTTTACCTCTAAGGACATTAAAAAATATAATATCATAGTAAGGTCTCTCCTTACCTCTAACTAGTTGTATCCTACCATATCCAAGACGGACAAAGTTGGATACATAACTGGGTAAAATAGGTACCTAAACACAATACAAATGTATCTCGTAAATTTCTTTTGAATACGCTTCACCGTTATTTTGTTTTCTTTTTGAGGCGAAGAGCTCTCGACAAATGTGTGTGTAGATGCACAAGATTTTTGTGGGAAGCTTTTATTTGTTTTGTTACAAGCTACTTTAGCTATCTGAGTATCTAGATCTTTTTGCAATGATTATCGTGGTTTTGATATTGGCCGTTTATTGTAATAAGTCAATAAATCTATCAAAAGAGCTTTTAACGATACATTTAGTTAAGCTTTTATCTTGATGGAATTACCAAATTAACACTTTTTTCGTAAACTTATATGACATTTCAACATCGCAACTGCTACATACTTCAATAACATTTCTTGAATGAATGTATCCGCGAATTTATCAGATTATTTATAAAAATATAAATAACTTATTAAACTAAGCTATTTTCACTAAAGCGCTGAATATGCTCTATACATTACAGGATAAAAACAACATAACAGAAATTAATAAGTAAATTAGTTTTATATATTCCAGAAAGACGCTAAGCAATTCAAATATAACGATTTAAAGCTGATAGATGATATACAGAAGATTATCAGTATAAATTATCCCGGAGAACCGTTCAGAATTCTAACACCAGACGCTTCCACAATTAATACGGCATCGTCATCGTTTGTATCCATTGCTACTTCAGACACCACGCTACCAACTCCAGGTATCATGTAAATTAAAAAAAAACATATTTTTTTATATTTATTTATCTTTTAAACATAGAACACTGATTCTCTTATTGGTTCTGTTTTATAATATAGGTAGGTATCCTGATTGATTCAGACACAGCCCAATCTACTTTAAAAAATCAAGACACAAAAATATACCTGTTTCTTGCCTCGTTAAGTGGATTATCTCTCATTTTAGAAAAATTGTTCTGTATCTTCAGAAGTGCGTGCTTCTAAGCCTTACTTTTCTGTTAAGTCCGATAAATAAACAAATAGGGACATGAATCTTTCTGGTGGTTCGTAGTGATATTTTTCGTCAGTCAGTTGTCGATTTAATTTTATTTTCAGAGCCGATACCAACCCCGGAGCCAACACTTTCAGAAACATTATTTTCCTTGGTATCTAATACAGTTGATAAAGCAATATTTCTTCACGTTGACGAACCAGCCCTACGCTACGATACGGCTTATGTAGAACTGAAGAAAGCTGTCGAAGAAGCTATGGAAGTACCTGTTATTGAAATCAAGGAAGATATTGCTGAGTTATATTATAATTCATATAAAATGTTTGAGCTAAATATCATGGAGAAGGAACGTATCAGTGAGATTTATTGGATTCTTTTTATATCTATCAACCCAACACACTTTATGAAATTTTTTCGTATCTTTGACTTTTTACATAATCAAATTATTTTATTATATTAATTCATAATTAAGTATTTAGCTAGAGAACATTATCAAGAGTGGTGATGGGTTAACTATCAATCAGTTTGGAAATTTAAAAAGAACTAAAAGAATCATGTAACTTGTTAGTTTTAAAACTGTCAGATGTCCTGAAGATATATATTATTATTAGGGTGGACTTGCTGGGTGAAGATGTTGCAAATTATAGACAGAGTTATTGGTAATTCGACCTATTCCTGTTAGGAGGTGGTAGGGGTATAAACAATGTGATGTGTGTGTGTAACGTAAACGATATTAATAATATCGTTTTTAATGTCGCATTATTAAGTTTGGACGGATAATTGTTGTTTTATTACTTATAAATAACCAGCATTAAATCCTCTTTAAACCAGACGAAAAATTCAATTTAAACTAATAATTATTTTCATGAATGTTTGATGTTGAATTTTTACTTATTAATTAAAAAAGCTGATATTTTGATAACTCAAAAATAGTGCATTGCCGCATTATATTATCACAAATATATTTTAGCACCTCCTAATGTATAATGTCGAATAATCAAAATAATTACATAAAAAGTTGCGTTTATCTGGGAGATTTTTAAAAAGCTTATCTTGGATAATACGTTTCATGTCAACTGTTAGGTTGGTAGCGAAGAAAATTGCCTTTAGTTGTCAAAGATATAAACATATTATATATTTTTTCTCTGAAAACCTTAAAATAAATGAGCTAAATAGCTCTTTATACTTTATTAACTTTTATGCCCTTAGCCGCTAGTTATATTGAGATGATAGTTTCTAAAGGAAATAAGAAAAATAATTGCCTACCACCGTGTTTATGATTTTTTTATTTGAAATATAAGAATATCAGTCATATTCCACTACAAAAATTTGTCAAAATAAGTAGATAATAATTAAAACACGTAGTTAGACGTTTATAAAAAAGGACACAAATACGTTAGTAGTTCCCATCTCTCGCTCAAAGTAAAACCTCGTGGTATAAATAATAAATACTGGTTTATTCAGCCGCTGAAATCGCCTGGGAGAAAAGAATGCGCAAGAAATTGAAGAGAACACTTAGGCGTCAGAATAATTTTAAAGGTTATTAATTTTCCTGTCAGTGTTATTTGTCAAGAACTGTATTATATATTTATAACAAGTAAAATATTAAAACGTCGACGTTTTTGGGTAATTAAATCTAATGATAACGACCATTTTCACTGTCGGTAATATTGAAAAAAATATATTTTGTAACTTTTTTTTCAATGTTTTGCTAAAAAAAGCTGCTTTTCTTTCATGAATAATATTTGATTTTATTAAGGGTATGAGACTCCACCTACACCAAAAAGTGTCCTTTCATCGCACGAGAGTTACAAAAGCCGCCACCACGTCCGTGTGTTTGTCATCCACAATACACTTATAACCGTTACCCAAAGGTATATTAAAATACTTGTCAATGTAGAGAATTATATTTCTTTCAGAATCTTGATGGCTGAATACATTCAATACGCTATATCGATGTTCATCCATCCATGTAATGTTTGAGATATTTATCTGGAAGTTATTCGATAAAATATTTTTATTATTTTGATATCTGTAGGAATTCGACTAGAGCAGTACTAGCGGCCTGACTCGGCTTCGCACAGCTTGGATTTTTTTGTATTTTGGGAATAAATATAACCTTTTTACTTAAGGTTTATAAGATTCTAATAATAAAAGAATTAAAATCGGTTTCGTGGTTTTTGAGTTTATTTGTTTGTACCAATGTATGTATGTATAATATAGTATACTATAGATATAGATTTTCGCCGTTATGTAAACACAATCTGAGAGAAATTGACGAAAGAGCACTTGTGTTAAGAGTTCAAATAGACCGTCTCTTTTACTCTGATAAGGAAAACGATTTGAGTGAAAGAGACAAACGAAAACCGTGAAATAAGACGGAAGTAGTTTACGATTAAAGTGTTAAAAAAATAACACATATATTTTTAAACACTTAAGAAGAGTATCATGTAAAAAAGAGTTACCGGCGGAGCAATGGAATAAATAGTGACCATGTCAACACGCTAGACTCTCAATCCTGAAGTCGTGCATTATATTTTTTTATGAGTGCTATTAATACGGTACGGTCTTAGGCCAAAAATCAGCAGCTCGTGTCAGGTACATTAGGACTCAGGTAGCCTGATATGAAAAAGGAATTATCAAGAAAGACATATACGAATCTACTGTCAAGATCAAGGGTGGTAGCGCCTTGTTCACGTGTTGTAAAAGGGCTGGAATCGTTTTCGTCAAGAACTTCGAATAATAAATATTTAGCGTAGTACCATTACTATTTATACCATTTTACTATTTATACTATTTTATACCATTATAAAAAAGTAATAAAACAAATAATTGAATTGTGATATCTATAAATAAATTTTCATACAATATTATGGTTTTCAGGATCGCTTTGGAATATACTTGCCCAGACAGGCAGGTTATAGTGAGGGCAATATCACGGTAACACCAGCCGTTTCTATAGAGAGTATTGATGAAATTGCGGACACTAAGTCAATAGTGAGTAAGAAGTCCGCAGTTTCGGCGAAAAGTACAGTCAGTAAGAAAACTACTTTTAAGGAGTGACGCAAGTACTAAAAGACGTAGCCGCTGTGTATTGGCTTAAACCTATATCATTTCTATAAAAAAAGTTATACAGCTTATATTTAATGTTGTGATTTGGCCTTTTCATGTTATATGTTTGTTTGAATAATATTAAAACGCATGTCTGCAAAGCCGTTCTTTATATTTTTATATATGTTAGCTTGTTAAATATACATTTCAAATAAATTTTAATTCGATATCAAAAAAGGAGGACTTCAGAGTGACATGTAGTATGTGATATCATTTGAATTGGAGAACATTTGTTTGTATGACTGTCGACAAATTTGCGGGAAACTACATCCTCTTTAATTTAAATAAGGTAAATTCTTAAAAAAAACAGTTAAGTCTAATTTGTACGAATATTAATATTTTATCAGATGTGGCTATCCACGCGTATAATTTAGTTTAAAAGTTGACAGGTATTTGGAAGTTGGTTAATTTTTCGAAATTGATTTTATGCTTAAATAATTCTAAACGATATCAGAAACTGTAAACTGGTTCGGTAATTAATTTTGAATAATTTAATTACATTAAGTTATATCAGCTATTTAATTGAACAAAGTGTTTACAGGAAAAACATTTGTTGGTTAGCAATAATTTACACGCCCTTGCTCTTAGCTAATAAGAAACCATAAAACCTGAGAAATAAATTTCAATTAAATCCTTGAAAAAGTTTCACACATTTAAAAGGATTTTAACATTGACTTGAATTTGGTGTTATTGTTTCATCGCCTACTTGTTTACTTTGCCAAACATGTGGACTTCTTTTTTAATAAAAAAATGCGTCAGACTTATTCAACTGAGCCGTTCTTAACCTCTAATTATTCAAACATCGTGCACCTCTCAATAATAATTCAATCAGACAGATATTCACTACATTTTAAATTAAGATTAATAATCATAGTAATTGTAACTTAATGAAACATACTAAATCAATTAATGATTATCTTATGTTTTAATAGCTCCGAATTTGTTTAAATGTGATGTTTTTTTTCATAGAAGAGTGGGCAAACGGGCGGGAGGCTCATCTCATGTTAAGTGATACCGTCGCCCATGGTCACTCTCAATACCAGAGGGCTCGCGAGTGCGTTGCCGTCCTTTTAGACACAACGCTAGTTTTATCAGAGAAAAAAATATACATATAGGTTATTATTGGTAAGTGGCTGCTTATGTTACGCATTCGGATATTGAATGAAACCTTGCAATACTTACAGCTTTTCCTTTAATGTTAATCAGTTTAAAGGTGTCTTTCTGCCTTCCAAGCTGTAATCGTGTTTCCACGGGAATCGAATCTAGAGTACTCGGGGAACCACTAGCAAAAAGTTTTTTTTAATTAAATGTTGCTTTAAAAATTATTTTATTTTATAGATAAATATTTTATATATATACATATTATTTTTTCTTTAAAAGTTATTCAAATACTATAGATAAACACTTCATATAACGGCGATAATTATAAAAACCCTAACAATGAAAAGAAGAAATGAAAATAATAATCTGCTTAGCAAATCGCTTAGAATTTTCCTCTGTCTCCTCTAAGCCGTATTGTCTGGCGTATAATTCTTTCGTAAGTTATTTACATAGAAGACAAAGGTTTTGCAAAAAACAAAAACCGTTTAAAGAAGTTTATTTTCATTTAAATTATTATTATTATTCTCTTAAACATGTCACTAACATGAGAAAAACAAGAAAATAAAAAGTAAAAATATATCATTCCGCGGTTATCCACCAAAAACCTTCGCAGGCGTGTTCGGAACTGGTACTACTACTGGTGCTACTATTTCTTGTAGCTCTGAAAGCTGTTATGAAGCTCCGAATAAGTTATATTTGTGCGACGGTATTCGATGTACAAGTGGAATTGAAGTTATATTTAAGGCTCGCGTAAGCTAACGTTAGTAAAGTTACATATATATTAGTTAATAATTAGAAGCATAAACCAAAATATGTTAGCAATCCTCACACACTTGAAGCCAAAATGAGCCCTTTAGTTTTTCCCACACCCATAAATTGTAATTTAACATTCTCGTTTTCGATAATGTCCAATAACATAAGTGTCACTTAGATTTAAGAACTCTTCAATAAGTCAAGTTAATCCAGTTTCGCAACCCCACTACCCCTAATTTTATTTTAGTTATAAGCTCATGTTTTAAACGATTATAGCCAGTTGACACCCAGCTTCAAACAAAGAGTTTCATTTAATATATATTTGAACATCCTTACAACAACCACCGAACTCATGTGATTGGTTATTTTTTGAGTATGTTGGTTATTTGTGCGATTTAATAGATCACATTTGTCATCTGTCAGCTGTCGTATAGCTGTCTGACAGCTGTCTTATATCTTATAGTCTTATAACTTATGGCCAGGTGACCTACTTAAAACATCGATTACACTGCAAACATTTTTTGTTTTTTGGGTAAAACACATAAGAGATAAATCTTGTGAAAAAAGGGTTCGATAATCATGAAAGAATGGTCTCATGGAATCAATTTTAATTAAGTCCTGTAAGAAACTCAATGGACACTTCCTAAATTTACATTTACTGCCCGTTCTCAAATCAAGAACGTAGAACGGACGAGATCTGTTAATAAACCCTCCGTCACTCTTTTGAATCTCCAAGATTTTTCTACAAAATATTTGTGAGCGCCTTTAACCATTACATAAAGCTCTTTATGTTAAGTTTATGTTGTTATATTTATATGTTATTATATTATGAGAAATAAATAAATATGAACCAACCCCTACCAACGAGTACGATGTATGGCCAGCCATTGGTTTCTGATGATACGATCTTGCGTATCTATCAACTATTAATTAAGGATTACGCTAAGCGCGCACTGGTTACTTTGGTCACCGTCACATTAAAGTTTTTGTCACTGTGAGGTCATGTTTCTAAAGCGGATTCCGCTCACGAAGGGTGACAGTGACAAAACTTTTTTGAAATCGAAGCGTCATTTGCCGATATGGATTTCGAAGTGACGGTCGGTTACCCAAAAACATTGGTGTGTTTGCTTGTGTGTGTGTGCGCGCGCTCGTGTGTGTGTCTCTCTCTCTCTCTGCGTGTGTGTGTATGTGTGGGCAAGTAATATTATTTTTCTCTTCCAATGCTTTAATTTTCAAATTCATGTCAGAGTAGGGTTTCAGTTTTTTATCAAAGAGTGCTCGTCTCTTTTCCAATTTTTCAATAATGATGTCATTATCAATATCGTCTTCTTGGATATTCACTATCTGTGTAGATGATGACGCCATTTTGCGTGCATCAAAGTCAAGAATCGGAAGGCAAATGCGAACAAACGACGCTGAGACGACAAAATTATCACTCGTGCGCGCACTGCTATGACAATCGAATGGCGGCGCGGTGACAGTTTCGTCATGGGCATGTAAGTGCCCTGTAAACGATCAAATTGTTTGTCAAACTTCACGTTTTCATCAAACAATAGCTTAAACGATCAAACCAAATATCAAACAAATTTGTTAACTTTCTAGTAGATTCGGGTTTCTCCGTAACGTCGAGTGCTTACAATTTTATTATTACAATGAGTAATTCAGATGACGCATTTTTGGCATTGACTCTAGCACTGTGTATCAAGACAAAAAAAAGAAGACGATGGAGTCGAGAATGGTTGAAATTAAGAGATAAAAATACCCACGAGAATTTGCTACGGGAAATATTGCGCACAGAACCTGAAGACTACGCAAACTTCCTGCGCATGGACCATAAAACTTTTGAAGATTTACTGACTATACTCCATCCTCGTATTGAAAAAAAGGACACAGTTATGCGGAAATCTATACCAGCTTCTCAAAGGTTATCAATAACTTTGAGGTACCTGGCTAGCGGCGCCGATTTAGAAGATTTAAAATTTCAAGCCTGCGTTGCACCTCGAACATTGAGCAACATTATCATTGAAGCATTTATCAGCAATAAATGAAACACTATTCAACAATATTCAGGTAAGGTTTTATTTAATAAATAAAATAAAAAAGTCTTTTATTTCTTGCTAAAAGATATACAAAATAATATAGGTTTACTAAAAAGAAAAAAAATCAGGATAAACAGATATGAAATGCAACATAAATTCTTTGTTAGTAATAGTTATGCTAATATTGATACTCATATTGTCACTGAGCGTAGCGTCCTCCATGATGTCAATACAACGAGTGAGATCTTGTTTCAAACTCGACATCAATCCAGATTTTCATCAAACACGACAAACACGTAGATTGTTTGACAAACGCCTCAAACACAGCAGTACACTATCAAATAATTTGACAAACACGTAAAATTTGACAAACAATTTGATCGTTTACAGGGCACTTATGGTAGGGGAGCCCACGATGCTAAATGGGGATTTACTCGAGCGTCGTAGAGACCTATTGGGATACAAAGCTTAGATAAAAAGAAGAAAAAAATGTTATATGATAAATTCCTTTTCATCGGTGGGGGAAGCGGCTATAGATAGTTAAATATGTAAAAAAAAACTGTTGCATGGACATCCTCGAGCGCGTCAGATATTGATAGCATCTATGCCCTACGTATTTTTAATAATGTACGTATGTTAATCTGATCGTTTGCATGATGCGGGTGGTTGTATTTAAGGGTTGAAAATTAAAAAAAAAAAAAATTTATCGAGCGCGTCAGATTTTCTAAGGGAGTGTTAAGTGCACCAAAAAAAATCTCTCATTCACTAATCTGACGATTTCGATGGGACGCAAACCCACAGCCATTTTCTTAATTTGCAAAAAAAAAATCGCAATTTTGAAATACTCAAGCGCGTCAGATTAAGATATATGTGGTTCATCTTTATGTTCTAAACGTACTGTCTCATAATCTGACGATTATCTAGAGGGATTCGCCTGATCTGACAAAAAAAAAATAGAAAAACGGTTCACCTAAAGGGCCATCCCTGCAACTTCCCGCTAATTCCATTCCTGGGCGCTTAAAATTGATATTTTGAGCTCGCTGAGTTCAAAGAAATAAC